CTCCTTTCTTTCTCTTTCTCTCCCTTTTCGCAGTGGGAAGTGCACAGTAAGTGTGAAGTATACATCATCGCCTGAGGAATTTGTCTTGAAAAGTCCTCTCAGCCCCCTGGTGTTCAAAGGCTGAGGGATGGTTATTGATTATTGCACTGCATCAGAGCCCGCATTAGAGCCCGCAGAACGCGGCAGCTGCCCGTGAGCGCGCAGCTCCTGCCCCTATCCCTTTTCCCCCTCTTTTTCCTTCCGCCCAGTGTGTCCCACGGCCGCAGGACATGCAGGGCACGTGGCCTGCAGGCACAAGCTGGGGACTCCCCTAGGAGCGGGCACGGCTGAGTTATATATGTGTGTGTGCAGATACAAGGGCGCACGCGCTCACATGCTGCGAGGCACGGCGCCTCTGTGGGTGCCCACCCATCCCTTACGGCCTCTGTGGGTGCCCACCCATCCCTTACGGCCTCGCTCGAGCTGTGCGGACTCCGCCAGGAGCCAGGGAGTGCCCAGAGCACCGGGTGCTACGCTGTCGAGCGAGGCAGGGTGAAGGCCTGCTGAGAGCATCCCACGCCAAGGAATGCCAGGTAACCTGTGCCAACCTTCTCCCACCACTCCCCCAGTGCCCGTGGCTCTCCTGGTGGGACACACATGCATCCCACATGGGCAGTCGCTGGCAGCCTGCAGCTCTCTGGACCTGCTGCTCCTGCAGCTGGTGAGAAGTAGAGAGCTACTTCTCTTTGTGCACACTTGCTTGGCAGTGAGAGAGGGCAATCCTGCTTCCTTCTACTGTTTTGTGGGGCTAGATAAAAAGTGGAACATTGGGAGGCTCTGTGACCTCAGGCTTCAATTCAGAATATCTTTTTTTTTTAGATTAAAAAAATTATAGATAGCTTCAAAATTAATTTTAAATCTTATTCTTGTTCTCATCCTTTGGAATACACAATACTGGAATACATAATAACTGGATTATTTTGCTTTATGAATAAAAACATCCACTGTCCTCTTGTGTGCCATCACAGCATCCTGGTATTTCTACATCATCTCTGAAGTTCACTTGCAGTCTGCAGAGTTGGATGGTTTGAAGGAATGTCTTCTGGGAATTAGCTTTTGGACCACTTTGTTTGCATTTTGCAGATGCAAAGATGCTACAGTGCAGCACAAAGAGGTTTCTATTTCTTCCTCTCCATAGGCATGTTTAGCTCCCATTGACACGGATGTGAGTTATGCACATGTCTAAGAAGAGAAGGGAGTCTTAGATCTTTTTCTCATCGTTTACATGAGATCAAAGGAAATCAAATAGAG